TCAGAGTGCTGGCAGTATGCCGGTGATCACTGCGCGCGCGTGTTCCTGCTCGCATGCAACTGTCGACACGCCTCTCGCTAACAGGTCTTGGCGAGTGCCCGAGTGCCTGCTGGAGCCAACGAGCAATACCGCACTGGACCGCTACGCGTGGAGGGACCACCGGCCGTACATTTTCACCAGAGGGTCGGGCTTGCCAGAAGCGTCCCGTGGCAGTCAAAATTGGCAGAATTCTTGCCGCAATAGCCTTACTCTTGCCTTGCAGGGGTACACTGAACTCCTGGCGCGCAGAGCGCTTACAGTCGAGGAGCCTCGGCCGTATATCAAGCATGATCGGTTGCGTCCAACAGGTCTTTCAGAGCAATAGTGAAAGCATGGAGGACGACTCTCTCTAACCCGCAAAGACTAGAGCTTGGCGTTCATCGCAGGCAGGTGAGCCGGACCGCCCGACGCAACGGGTGCGACGGACCGTGAGTCATCGAGTTGGACATCGCAGCAATGCATTGGTGATTGCAAGTGCGATTAGGCACTGAACGCTAAGGAAAAGGTTGCGCAACGCATTGTGCACTACGCGACGAAGCGCATTCGCGCCAGCAAGTCAGCGCTTCCGAACTTGTTTCTACGTTGGAGCAGACCGAGAGACTTTCTTGCCTTGGCATTGGCTCCAGAAGCGTTCACCCTCTCCAGCCATGCAGTGCGAGCTCAGACAGTACTGGACGCATGAGATGTGTCTCGCTAAATATCGCGCTGTTGGGAGCCATGACCGGCTCCGACAGCACTTGGGTCTGCCCGCTGCATCATGCTATGCAAGAGGCTGTGACCGTACAGCTGTGATGCTCAAATCAAGAATGCATCTTGATGCGCGCTGTCGGATTAAGGTTCGCATCACACGTGCACGTGCACGTGCAGCTCTGCCGCGTGACGATTATTCTTTGTAATCATACCGGCGAGCAAGGCGTGCGCAACGGAGTTTGCTCCTCGTCGACCTTCGAACGCGCTCCCTGCACGCAGGTCTGATGAAGAATAGCGGGTATTAGCTAAGTAGCAGCGCCCACCAGGCACAAGTCCAATCACACCACTTCACAGCAAAGAAGGC